TATGTATGTGGTGAATGGAGAGACTGAGAATTAAAATGGCAAGGGAATCAGAGATACGGCCAATAGGAAGCTCTAAAGTTTAAATTAAGTCATGGATGGCTATTGGAATTTATTCATATTTGTTGCTCTCCAATCCAAGCTACATTCTGAGTTTCCAATTTTACATTGTTGGTAGATTTTCTAACAATGTTTCTTTGACGTTTTGACTAACTTTGTTTTCTTTCTTTTGGTCGGAAATGAATATAATCAAGCCAAACGGCAGAGCAAGAAGGAAGAAAGAATCGATCCAGCCAGCAAGAGGAGGATGCAGGGGCCAAGTCAAACAAGACATAAAGCAGAGTGCACAAAACAAAGGCCACATAACAAAACACAATAAAACGGAAAATAAAAGCAGTAATAAGAGCTATGATATGCATACCATATATATGGGATAGAATGATCCCATGCATGCAGACCAGTATTGGTTTTCATAAATGAGGCATTTTGGGGTGATCCAGGGCATTAGCTCTTTACATGTAATGAGTCATTCTTTGTTACACGTACATAGAAAACAAAACATTCGTGTCATACTGTGATTTGTCGGCGGAGCCAAGTATTCCTTATTTTTGAGAATGAAAGCATCAGGATTTGGAGGAATACAATCACACTGTGGTGCTTCCAGATTTCCCAGCAATTGAAACTGACAATAAAGAGAATCCCAATCCGATCGGATTTGCATAAATAGGACAGAAAAAATAAGACAGAAGTTGGCTTTCCGTACAAACATGTGAACACATTCGTTTGCATCTGCAGAAAATCACTATAGATAGCTAAAAATTGTTCTGCCTCATGTGCTACAATAAATGGGCCCACGCAGAAAATTAATAATATCAAGAATCATATATTATTTTTATTTTTATTTTTTTGGTTTAGATTTGATTGTCCTTACTGACACAAGAATAAGAACTTGATGGTGGTTAGTATAGAACATATTTACTAATATTATTAACTTGCAAATAATTAATAAATAAAAAGGTTTCCAATCTCATTGGTTAGCCAGTCATGTGCAGCCATTCTATTCTGTGCATGTGCTACATGAATCAATTAGAAAGAGTGACTTGGTTTGTCATAGAATAGAAAAGAAAACAGCCATGGAGAAAACTATAAGATAATCTAAAATTAATTTTCCCTCCAAACTTGATCAACCACATCCATATTTCCATAATCACCATATATCATCCCTATTTGGTTTACTAACTGGTAAAGATGTATGGAGAAATCTACTACACATGAGATTGGTTACAAATCATCGGCAACGATGGGTTCTTCAGTTACTGCCATAACAGTCTTCATCATATCATGTGCAGTGAATCCATCATTCTTTGCATAAAATAGATGCAGCACTTTGCTCATATTCCAAAACAAATCCTTGCAAGCTCTTGGTACTATGCTACCCTTCTCTAGCAAAACTAGTCTTAGCAATTCTCTCCTCTTACTCGTTATAACACTCTTCATCTCATTGATGGTCTCCTCCTCAGTGACGACCTTGTTGCCATGAATCATGGCCAACGTTACAGCATTTAGCTTCCCTTCCGCAGATTCCCTCTGCAACGTAGCAAAGGAGTTATGAGTTAACAGTATTAGATGGGATATTGGTTTTTATATTTTTATTTCTCAAGGAGAATGGGGTGATGTTGTCTACCTTAAAGCCTTGGATATCATTGAGGAGACGCCCAGAAGTGCTCATAAGTCTATACAGATTATAAAATTCGGAATTTCCGACAACCTCCTCTGAAAGCTTAGGCCCCACCAAATAGAGAGCTGGGAGAACAATTGGTCCCAACGCAAATGATACATATGCATTTGTCATATATTCATCCATTGTTGGCACCGACTTGTTTCTCAACCACTCAGCCTCCTTCGACATAGACTTGAGCAAATCTAACCACTGAAAATCAAAGATAGCTCACTTTATCCCTAGTTAAATGAATAAAAGAATGAACTTGATAAAGACAATTTAGACTCCTTTGTCATGTACTCTACTTTTGTGAAGTGAGTGAATAGAAAATCAAATAACCATCCACCAGACAGACAGAATAAGTTACCATCAAAATCAGTGTAAGAGAGTGTTCAGGAATGTGAAGTGCATTTTAAGCTGCTTAGGAGGACAACTAGTGCTTTTAGAAAAAAATTGTCCAATATTACTCAATAGATAAAGCAATGATAAAAAGGACAAATTAAAAGATTCCGACTTACAATCTCAATTACATGACTTGTCACACTGCGTCCTTGCCACTTGAATGCCTTGACTCCAATCTCATTAATTGTGTTCTTAAGTGCTGAAAATATAATTTCAACATGCTCGGAACAACAATCAACACTCACATTCACATCCCACCTGAGGTCCAATTACAGCGAACTTTTAAGACCTCTGTCAGAAAAAAAAAAATTAATAGGAAGGGAATGGGAAAAGGAAACATACTTCTCGACCAATTGTATGAGGTTTACCAGTTCCTCTTCAGAACCTCCAATGTCAAAGAAATCATCAACCACAGTTGTAAGCACTCCATTTTTGGCCCATGATATGCGGGCATCTGATAGTTCAGGAGGAAAAAGGGTTGCAGCAGCAGAGAAGTAGCAGTATGCCAGCTTCTGCCTAGCAAAATTTAGCTTGTCTAATCTGTTCTCCTCAACCCACCTGCTTACATGGAGGGAAATCACAATATAATAAATAAAAAAATACAAATATTCTGCATTCCTTTAAGCAATGAAAGCAAGAAGCAGGAAATCTAGAAACAAGAAGCTCAGCTTGAGAGAGAGAGAGAGAGTGTGTGTTGTAACAATATGTACCTTGCAAGATGGTTGAGTTCTTCACGGTGTATAGATTGGCAAATATTGAAGTCATCCACTGCCAATTTTAGGAAATCTTCATTGCCAATATTCAAACAGCTAACATAAGAAAAGCACAACGATCAATAAGTAATATACACTGGTCCGTCATAATAACTCAACAGAAATCAATTTCTTCTTAAAAAGGAAAAGGAAGAACAGGGGCTGTGGAAGAAAACACTGGAGGTTTACCGGTAAGAAGATTTTAAAATCCTTGTACTATCTGTGTTGTAATATTTTATAGCCCTCCTGGTTGACAACCGACCCAAATTTGCATAGGAAGGAAATTTAAGAACATCTTCCACCTGAAAACAATCAAAAGTTGCATTTTTAGGGATTACAAAAAGCTAAAACACCAAATCAATATGATAGAGTTCTCATAACAAGTTACCTCTAGGACAATGTGCTTATTGAATATATGACCCTGAACTAAAGTATTTGATAACTCCTGTTTCAGAAAATGGCTTGTCCAGTAATTTTGTTTCTCCATAACTGATTCATCTGGATGTGTGATGAATTCTGAAGCCCTCAACAATTCTAAGGCAGCACCAATGTCCTTCAAATATCCTCCAAGGGAATTAAAGAAACAATCTTCTGAAAATTGACTTAATGGATCTGCAAGACAGCATGAATCAATTAAATATTTTTGTCAAAAACAAACTCATGAAGACCAACGCACCTAAAGTGAAAATACCTGCAGAAACATCATATCCATTAACACGTAAGAGCCGAAATGCCATCGCACAGGTGGCAGCATCAGAAAATATATCTTCATCACCCTGCAGCCAGCATCTGTTTGTTCGCTAATGTCATGCTTCCCGATGGATGAAAACTAATAAATCTCTAAATATAATATTTCACTTGAGAATGATTAAAATAATCACAATTAATTCGTCGTCCAAGCTACACCCGAACACCTCATTCACTGGTGCATACATGCATAGGAAACATTACCTGTATGTTTCTTCCAGTACACTTCTTATTTCCTCCCTGAAATGTCGATCAATACCCAAACTTTCAAGACTGGCAACCATAGAAAGATGGCCATAGTTCTCTAGAGGATAAACCGTTGGAACTGAAAAGAATAAGTGGAAAATAATCTATTAAACTTTATCCTGATATGGTAGATACACCTAGAAAATTAATGGAAAATTTTGAATGACGAACCTGCATTTCCAAACTTTTCTAAGAGTGTGCGAAGGTACTTAAGACAATCAGCATTTTTAAGGTGAGTAAAAGCAGCAGCTGTGGTTGATGGTGAATTAAACAAGGACCCATTCTTCCTTTGATACTTCATGACCAACTCCCAATCCTGCGATCTTCCAAATCCTTCTGAAATATATGCTAAGAAGGCTCTCCACCCCTCTGAGTTGCTTCCATAACCACTAAATGATAACATTTTGGAATGGAGATCGTTTAGAATAATTTAGGATGCAATACAGAAATTTAACCATACCAGTGCATTTCCATTATTTTGACTAGCATATGAACTGATTGTATCACGTATG